GCACCTTGAGATTTTCATAATTTTCCTGGAACTTTAGACTCAATTCCCAAACTAAGCTGATCTTTCCTTGTAGAGATCTACAAGGATGCACTGCACTCTGTAACAGCTGTTCCAAGGTCTCACCTGAAGCATCAGCTCACAACCACCACTGCCCGCTGTCATCTGCTCTCTTCTTAAAGGTTCTCCACTTTATCGCGTTTTCATGATGATGAAGAGGGGCAGAGTCCACCCCCACCATTTTAGAAGGAGTCTCTGACCCCTTGGTGTAATATTTCAGTGGTGCTTTAAGCATGTCATTTATGATGCACTTAGGGACTCATTAAACATCAAAAATTTGGGCTAAAACCTGGCAAGCTGAGGGCAGTGGGCTGTGACATTTATGAACTAAGGGACCACTATGGTGACAGCTGTCAGCACCACTCCATCCTACATGCACACAGGCTCCAAAGCAAAGCCAGCACGCACCCCAAATGGGAGAGCACTCACTCCAACTTCCAGACCATTTTCTAAATACTCTTTTCAACCTCCTTTCATGCCCAGAAAAAGCCTTCCAGAAAACATGCCCCCCTCTGCAAGCCTCACATTTGTTACCTGACCCAGTTTTGTGCTCCTTTTTTTTTTTTTCCTCCCATCCTAACATGAATCCTTGTCCCTTTCACACTCCAGGGTCATTCAGGGGATCTATACAGGCAAGCACAACACAAGCTGGGCTGGGGATGCTGAAAGGCTCSTGCCGCCCTCACCTCTAAGAGGGAGGCACCACCCACCAGGAGAGACCGTTATGCCAGCAGGCAGCCCACCCACTCCATCCAAACGGAAAAGAGCCCAAATGGAAGGGGTCCCAGCAAGCTGGGGGTTGCTTCCTCTGCAGGGGCCTCCCTGCATCCATACAGGAGACGGAGGTGGCTGCAAACCCCTTGCTCCATGAAAAGGTGACACTGCACTGAGGCTCTCGACAAGCTGCCGGGAAAGCCCTCGTACATACGAGGTTTGCGAAAGGCAATTACTGGCATTTACATAAAAAGCTAAACATCCAAACACATTTGGAGTGTTCCTTCTTCTCAGGGGGAGGGCAGGCCTCCAATGCACAACTTATCTTAAGCTAGCAGTAGCTTAGATTGTTTTCTATTACAGCCTTGCAATTTTAATACAAATAAGTCTGCTCAAGGTTTTGAGAGATTTGGGTTTCACGGGGCTCATTTCCCAGGTACTTCTAAAATTGTTGACAAAAAGGGCGAGAACTTGTTGAACCACAGGAATAATTAACTGGAGATCYGGCCTTGGCCTTCCTGTGAAGCAGAGCTAGGAGCCAACCTGGGGGACAACAGAGAGCTGGGGCTGCCCGGACAGCCCCGCAAGCTCCGCGCCAGCGCAGGGCCGGGATCAGGGCACGTGGGGACACTGCCAGAGCTGAAGCTGCACTCCGGGTTTCCCGAGCTCAGCTACAATTGCAGAAGCTGCTTCCCTTGGATGCCGGCTCTCCATGGAGTCAGGAGTTGCCACCGCACTTGGAAACTGCGGGAAGCATCAGGTGTCTGTGTCTAGACCCTGCAAAAGGCACTCGGGCGGCTGAGCACGGGGCTGCAGCTGCCAGCTGAGGGGCTGCACTTTGTATGGAAGCGCAGGGCAGCGGGAGCAGGGACGGCTGCATCTCCCACAGTCAGCACAGCCCAAGACTCCCTGCCAGCACACCCATATGCAACACCTACGCAGCCCTGCCAGGCAGGCTCTTGCTTTCTGAGAGCAGCAACAGCGCAAAAAGAGAGGAAAAAACTCATAGCCTCACCCTGCTGCAGGCATTCAAAGAGCTGCACATCGGTTTGGACTTTAAAGCAGCTGGGAAAGTTAAAAATGAGGAAAAACCATGCAAGTGTCACGGGAGGATTCCTGCTGCCACCCCAGTTGTGCAGCACACGCAACTGGAGAGACTTCCTGCCAGGCAAGGAGCTTGGCACGACAGCCCCCCGAGGAGCCAGCGCTGTCACGACGTCACGAGTTCGGATTTTTCGAGCGCTCAGCCCGGCACAGCTGGTGCCACGGTTGCCATTATACCATGAAACACTGAGTGCTTTTAAATGGAAAAGGTTTCCCCGTTTGAAAGGCTTAGATTTCTTCCATGCTATTCTGTGGACTCTTAAAAACAGACCTGTTTTCTAAGCAGAGCGTAGCTGATATTTAAGCAGAGCAGGAAATAGTGCTGTTTTAACTGAAAATAAATCTGTCAACAAGGAGGCACAGGGAGAGCTCCACTTCAGACTTTTCAGGTTCTTATTAAAAATATAAATTAAAGCAAGTTTTTCACATTATTTGCTACATCTGTTTGCTATTCCATTATAAATAAAGATAAGGGCCTCCTATTCAGCTCTGGTTAACTCAAAAACCCCTCAAAGTCCTTTTCATTTCACACTGCCTTATAATTGGCCCAAATTACACTGCAGCACTGGAAGAAGTCTGAGAGAGATAAGTTCTGCATTTCCCAAAGTCAGCTGGGGAGGTTTCAAAGGCCTTTGGCAACACACTACCTTTCCTTTCCTCAAAAAAGGAAAAGCTGGCAGGGTTATGGAGACACATCCCCGTTGCACGTACCCTGCAGCCTGCCACAAGCAGGTCCAGCTTGGCACTCTATGCAGGCTGTGCTCTCGCAGTCCTTTTCTGAGAAGGGGAAAAAAAAAAAATACATCCATACTCCAGATGCCAGTTTAGTGAGACTCTGGCTTCAAAGGAAAATTTCCAAAGATCCAGACAACATTGCTGCCACCCTATGCTCCTGCCAGCCAACTCATGGCACGCCGTATCTGTGAGGGCTGAATCTAAAAGTCCTTCAAGAGACAGAGATCAACAGCTAATTCTTAGTGAGAGGTTTTATTAAATTGCCTGCCAGAGAACAAGAGCTTCTCAATGCACAGAATAAGCACTGCATTCACACACTGCACGTGTAGGACCAACCTGGCCATGTGCAGTTCACAGGCACGTTTTGACAACATGAGGCACTGCACATCTCTCCTGGGCCTGTGCTAGTGCTCACCTAGCAAGTGAGAACTGTGGGTTCAATGTTTAGGAGAGGTGCAGGCTGTGACAGCCTTACCAGATGCATGTTAAGACTATTCACAATAAAGACAAAGCCAGCTCCAGCCTTCTCAACAACACATGTAATATTGTATTTTGTAGCCTCAAGGACAAAGCTAAAATAAAGACAATGCAGGGCGCAGACAGCTGAGCTTCTCAGGGCAAGTGACACAGGGACTCCCTGCTCTGGAGCCCAGGAACAATGTCCCAGCCCACACAGAGAGAACAGACACACAGACGGGGCACAGAAATCACTTTGACAGCTCTGAACAGCCCTGTGCTCCTCAAGTTTCTGCCAACACCTGCAGAGAAACACAGCACGTGGGGCTCACGGTGTCCAGGAGCTCCCGCAGCTGCGGCAAACTTGCTCCCAAGTCCCAGTGCTCCTCTCACAGAGCAAGGAAAAGGCAGGGTGCTCAGGGCCTTCCAGACCTCATAACGTCTGGAGAGGGCCTGGCCACCCCTTCCTTAGGAAGGCCTAGGAAGCTGGCTGGAGCTTTTGTTTAACATAGTAAGCTCCTCCTTACCCTTGATATCTTCAGGAGACCCCATGCCCACTCCCTCCTCTTTCCCAAATCACCAGGGAAGAGATGGGGCAAAGAGAACAGCCTCATCCTGAGAGTCTCAGTCTGACAAGCCTCCAAAAAGGGGAGGCCAGCAGAACACCACAAAGCCCACTCCCAGCAAAATAAAGCAGCCAAACACAGATGACCCAATCTTACCAGCTTCTGATTTAAGTGGCAAAGATGAAAGCTCCGATCCATGGAAAAAAGAGGCATCAAGTGAAGACCTGTGCATCCAGGTCTGGGCCTCTTGCAGAAATGAGAGAAGGAAGCCTTTAAATTAATTGTCTGTTTACCTTTCTCTTTTACCTTTGTCTTGCCCTACCTTGTCTCTGCCCCAGCAATTAGCGAGCAAGGTTTGTTGATCAAATCCTCACCACAGATCTCAGCAATACCAGGGTTCCATATAGACTCTCCTCTTAAAAGAGGTATTCTTCTAAAAAAACAGTTCTGCACCCACAAACGGGAGCAGCTATCTTAAAGATGCAGATAAGGTTAAAAAAGCTGCCCGATGTTAGCTCTTAGAAAAACACCTAGCTGAAAAACTGCTGGCTGAAATTTAACCAAGACAAATAAAAGAGGGAGAGCTCAGATGAACAAATTGGGAGATTCCACTCATCACGGACATTTATCCTGCAACTATGAAACAGGGCAAGACAGTTTTACTAAGCTAAGAGTGCAAGAACAGCAACACTGGAAACTTTTTCAATTTCTAGCTCGTTAAAAGCCAGTGCGTACAGCCCCAAGATCATCACTGCTGGGCTTCTGCAGCTCACTTTATGCAAAGTTAAGGGGCAAGGTCAGTAGAGGACATACAAGAGTAGGATCAGCCCATACTGCTTACCTGATTTGATACAAAACACCTGCTAAAAATTGCTAACAAGCTAAGATAATTATTCAATCACTGGAGAGAACAAAGGCACACACTTATTTTCTGCTCCTGTACTATACATTGGCATCTTATGCAGCAGCCACTGAGAGGGCAGTCAGTCTACTCACTGACATTGCAGAAGTGCCTTACAGCAACTTCCACAGAAAGGCATTAACATGCACAAGGAGGGAGGAGGATTTAATCACATAACCATAACAGACTAACAAGAGCAGGGAGAGGGAAGACATTCAAAAAAGGCAACCCTCCCCTCAACCCTTACATTAACAAGGAAGTGCACTGCATTCAAAGGGGGCCCTAACTCTGAAGGGGAGGACACAGTAATTATTCTAGGTGCCCAAAGTACGCACCATCCTACAACAAACCAGGACTACAGCGTTCAGAGCAGAGACAACTGATAAGAACAACAGGACAGAGTTTTATCTAAAAGTCCAAATTCAACGAAAAACAGAACACACCGACAAAACTCATGAGGAACTTACTCGTGTACTCTGTTGTCTCCATATAAGTCACTTAACCCAAAGCTGACATAGTGCCAGTGCTCAGGAACATTCAGCGCGGGGTTCCCCAGGTTCCTGTACATGCTCACGTAGTCCAGAGGATCCGGTCCCCCCAGCCTGCATCAAAAGAAAAAGAAAGTTTTAGGTAAGTTAGTTGGAAGAAGCAACCAGAGATGCCACAATGTGGAACAATGACCTGCTTTAAATCATAGCCAGTGAGAGAAATCGAACAGGCATGTTCAAGTTATCTTTAAAAAACAATGAAGCGAAAGGTTGGGTTAAGTCCAGGGAATTTCAAGGACAGGAAGGCAAAGTACATATGTGCAACATACTAAGATGCTTTTAATGGTAAGGCATGAAAACCTCTGGAAAATCATATTAAAGTTTTCACAAAACAAGGAAAACTGGAAAATGGTACTAGTGAAGAGTGATAGCTGCATCTGCACTGCAAGCTTAATTCAGGCCAGAAGCATATACCTCAGCTTCATGGAAAAAAAACAAAGTCCTGTTACTCCTTAAAGCAAAATCTGGAGGGGATAAGCTTTGAGGAGAGTAATCCATATTTCTGAACATAAACTCACAGGTTAAAACAGTGGAGGAGAAAGTATCAATTTAGAAAAAGTTAGTGCCAAAACTTCTAAAATACACTAGCTGCATCAATCAAGAATGAGTAAAAGACGTAATTACCACCTCTGCTTCAACATTAAAATGGCTACACAAAAGAATACTGCTTGAAAGCCAAAACAGCACAGCCAGACTAGATTAAATCACCCAAATTGTCAGAAACCCTTCTCATTACAGGACAAGGGGAAACTCAGCTGCAGCGCTAATGGAGTTAGTGCAAAAACACTCATTCTGCAGCTCCTTGCAGCTGCATCTGGCTGTGCAGAGGCAGTGAACTCCCCTCTGAATGAAGACACTACACTGTTTGGCTTACTGCTTGCTCTGTCAATCATAAAATAAACAGGACAGAAACAAGCAAGAAGAGACAAGACACCAAACCACATACTACAAGTGTTTATGGAATAGTGTGAGCTGTTGTTTAACTGTTTCCTGTCTCCAACTCGTTTTGCCAATCACATAAAGTACTTCCAATTGTCCYCCAAAAAGGGGGATCCAAGCTAGTATGACCTCCTTCATTCAAGCCACTTATTATACATTAGCTTCCCTCGCCTGCACCAGCTGCTTGGCCCTGGCCCCATCACTGGCAGGTTTTGGGGGCACATCTCCACTTCCACACCAGCCCCAGGGCTCGGTGCAGCGTCATTCCACACTCTGCAACCACCACACGAATTGCAGCAAAGTGCCTCGTTCTTTTTCTCCACAATTAAAGTACCATGTGCCTTACATCTGACAGTGGGAGGCTTGGGAAGAAGCTTTCTAAGCATTCAGCCCGCTCGTCAGGCTGCCTGGGGTGCACTCAGCCACAGCTCTGCTCCAGGCAATGTTTGTGCTCTGCAGTCGGGTTTAGATCTTGCCTTAGCAAGGAAGTTTGGAGCAAATAAACAGTAAAACATAACTACAGRCCCTCTCCAACCCAGCATCCTTTATAAAGTCCCACTCGGCAAGACAGAGGATCCCTGACAAGTATTTCAGCCCTCATTCTCTAACCYGATTGCTGGTGGCACAGCTAGAGTTACACCATGAGCTTCAGCAAACAGGCAGTCAGTGAGGAAGAGAGTTAACCCTCACCTTGTGAAAAATAGTTATTTCTAGATCAGAGTCACTGAGCGCAGCAATTGGGAGGCTCATTTACAGAGACAGAGTCAGCACTGCAGGGCAGARGCATTTGGGGCTGCTCTTTCAGTTCTCCACGGGCCTCAGCAGAGCTGCAGAACCTCTTCATCTCCATCACACGGTTTCCTCTCGTTTCSAAGAAGGGCTTAGAAACTCTTAAGCAGTTTCCTAGTGGGAGTGTTATGCTATCCAAAATCCTCAGCCTACCCTCCACTGCCCAGCTGTGAAGTCTCTTACTCAGCAAAAGAAAGTTCATCTGTCTCATGAATAGCTGCAGAACCACCACGGAGTTTGTATTTGGAAGCTGGAAAAGGAAGGAGATCCCAGTAAGGATTGTTTCACAGTCAGGACAGTTACCTTCTGTGCAGTATCTCGAGGGGGACAAGAGGAAGAAGAGCACAACTAAGCACAATGTATTCCTACCTGAAGCCTAAGGAGACCGACAGAGCAAGGAGCATATTTAGGGTCTCTATGAGCAAGAAACACAACCAAATTGGTCAAGTATTTAATCTAGAAGGCTCTAAAACTGCCTAGATGCAAGATGGACAGCCCCCAACGCCATGAACAATATATTACTTATACAATACCACCAAACTCCCTCCGATCRATAGGGGCGCTTCACAAGAGAAAAGACAAAACCACAAAACAACAAAAACAAAAGAAATCCCCAACTGTTTTTAAAGATGTACAAAATAATATACCAGCTTGCTGTATTAAAAGGCTTTCATGAAACAATAACAGCAGATCAGCTGGGAAAGCCTGCAGGCTCTCTCAGTTAGTGCACTGCCTCCCTCTTAATACTGCAGGAAAGAACAAAAACACCAAAAATCAGTAGAGTTATTCAAAAGGAGTGACCTTCCTTAAAGCAGTTTCCCTCCTCTCAGTAACACAAGGCCATCGCAGGGCCCTATGCCAGAGCACCAGCTTCCCAGCTGGTCAGTCAAGATTGTAGCTGAGGATATCACAGCAGGAGGGCAAGCAGAAGCATCTCAAGCAATGGGACAGTTCAACTAGACAGGGGTTAAGTTGTAAGCATGCAGATGTATATAACCTTTAGGTTCCCATATAGCAGGAGCAACCTTACTGTGCAAGATGTAAACTGGAAAGCAAGCACAGGGGATGCAAGTTGGGCCCTGCAGCAACAGCCTGCAAAAAGGCCTTTCTCCTTAGTCATAGCTTGAAAAACTCAGGAAAACAGTCCCATCTGATGCTGCCCATCTCCACCTGTATCTCAGTCCTCCCCCATCACCAGGCTGCACCAGAGACTGAGATCTCTGCAGAAAACGTGTGGCCAGGTGGTTGCGTTCTGAGTGGTGGTACTGACCGGCCCGCCAGCTCTCAGGTTCCACATGGCAATAACTTCCCCCACAGGAATGGGGACGGGGCCAGATGGAAGTGATTCCAGCCAGGATACAATCCCATTCCTGAGAGCAGCCAAACACAGGGGCTGTGCAGAGTTGTGCTATACTTCGCACGCACACAGAGCTCCTTTCCCAAAGTTACCTGCCTGGGAAGATCCGGAGCAGGAGAGCTGCAATGCGAGCAGCAGGACAGCGTGGGGGCTCCCAAGGGGCTGCAGCAGGTGAATGGGATTTGCAACGAGGGGAAAACACCTCCACCTGCTACGCAGCAAGCTGCTCCTGCCTGCATGAAACCCGCCACCAAACTGGGTTTAATAACACCCTGGATGCCAGATGATTCACACTGCCTGCTGACACAAGGTGTTTCGACRCTGTGACGACACGCAACACAAACAAGCCCTTAACTGTCCCCTTGTCAGGGCAGRCACCTCCCCACATCCCGCTTTTCCCCAGGGTGGCTTCCATGGCATTCCCGGGAGCAGAGGCACTCGGGAGCAAATCCTGCTGAGACTCCACTGGACAAAACAGCCCTCCGTGTCCCTGCGAGCAGCTCTGCACTTCCCCCAAACCAACAAGCCTCTGCAGGATGGGCAGCAGCAGCCTAGCAAACACGTCGTGGTGCGAGGGCTCCGCACGAGCCAGCTCCGCGTGGCACAGGGCGGGCTGCTCGCTCAGCTACGGGCCAGCTCACACAGCGACCCGGACGGACCACGCTTATTCCCTAGGAGACCTGGCACCCTTGGAAGTGATTTAAATAAAGCAAAAAGCTCATAACAGTAATGTATCTTGAAAAATACACAGCTGTGACACACAGCTATGCTGAACATAGATGGGAAGCAGTTCCAGGGGCAGGTTCGGCTGCTGCGCTGCCGCCTCCATGCTCCCACCCACAGTCACTACGGCACGGATTCGACCTCGGATCACAATCTACATATCAGTACGCGGGCTCACCCAAAGTGCTGGAAGCGTTGGAGGGTTTTATTGGCAAGAGCCTAACTTCAAAGCTGCAGGTACGGAACAAATTTGTTCCTTTCTCTATTCATGGAGCTCATTTAGGAGCAAGAAGGGCAGCCTCGGGGGAAAACGGGATTTGCAACCGCAGAGAAACATCTTTTGAATGATGTTAGGAGCGCTCTGAAGTCTCTCTTGGAGGAGAAACCCRAAGTGGGCAGAGGGGAAACAACTCCACAATGAGAAAAACATTAGGAAATCCCTGGCCTGTTTACACCCTGAAAAGCCTCCAGGGGATCCTCCACAATCTCCAGCAGCTGACAACAGGTCTGCTTTTCCGAGCTACCTTTTGCCAGCCCTTCAGACGTGCTCCGATACCCCAGAGTCATCGTAGACATCGTAGACCTCAGGTCAGAGCACAGAGCAAGGCAGAGGATGCAAAGAGTCCAGTCTGAATTCTACATATTTTAAAACCTATCACAAAGCAGTGGAAGTATAAATGTGCTTTCTCTTGCAGTTCTGTGCATCAAGGTGTTCTACTTCAGTGGGATTGAACTGCATTTAAAAAAGTAAAGACAGGTTTTGGATGGTAACAGAGACTAACCCCTTTTCAAGGCATAGCCTCTCACAAATACAAGGAGCTTTTCCTACAAGCTCCAACTGCAATCAAAACCTCTCTCCCAAGACATGCAAATGATGTTAAAAAAAGGGAAAAAACTGCTAGCTTCATAAAATAATTTGTACAGCCAAGTCCATTCATTTCACAGGCATGTGATTCTGGATCCTGCAGCTTTGTGGAGTAAGGCACACACTGCACCGTGCCAGCTCAAGAATATAATTCCAATTCCCCAAACACAAACTTGTTGCTCACCATAGGGAAGCTGATACATATTATTAAAAGCTGATTAGCTTCAGAATATTTCTCCTAAGGCAGGAAACTTTGCTCAGCAATTTCCTCTTTCAGTCTCAGCCACCTACGAGCTCACAGCTGTGGACAAAAGAGGACAGACGACTTGAGGACGAGCAGCAGCTGAACTCTTCAGCAAAACCAACCTCCAAGTTTTTCCAGGTTTGCCAACTACATGAGAAAAATACTGAGGTCACAGTCCATTTAGCACAAAATGCATACAAAGGCCTTCATGTTACTTCTCACATGCAATCTCTCATCACTGCCAACAGCAGTTTTTTTCTAGCGTTTGAGCCCCAAACTGCAGCGAGGGGCTAATCAACCCTTTAAGCAATCAGGAAGTCAGGACTCTTCCCAAACAGGTATCTCTGCCATTCCTCCTTACAGACCCAAATCTCCATCCCACACACATCACTATCACTCTTGCCAGTAGCATTTTAAGCTGTTGATTCCTAAACCAAGGTGACTGGAAGCTCATGAGCCTTGAGTATTTAAGATTAGGTATTACACACACCTGAACAAACTGAGCAGACCATGACTGAAGTAACACAGCACTGGTGTGTCCAAAGCCACAGATTTTCAAGCYCTCCTAGTCTCAAGTCCATTTTAAGTAATTAACAATGCAGTTTAAATAATTAACAACAATAGCAAAGAAAATGTGAGTACTGAGCACCAGCAATTATATTTCTTGCTCAGAACCTCAGAGCAACACATATTTGGAAGATACCAGCAAGAGTTTGYCTTGCACAGCAACACACAGGGTGGAAATCACCCTGTTGCTGCTCAGGAGCCAACTGGGTAGACACATGCAGGTTAAAACTTACTCCAAACRAAGAAGTTAAACTTTTGCTAAACTTTTTCCAAAGTGCTGGAAGCGACAGCGGTCAATGCCAGGGCCAGCAACAGCCAGCGGGGACCCRACCATGTTCCTTAGGTCCAGAAGAGGGGGCTGAACAGCAGAGTCACGGTAAAAAGCACGAGGGCCTCCTCTTCCCATGGGGCTAGACACTTATCTCGATAGCTAAAAGTCCGAGTACTTCCTCCGTGTCGCTCTCCCACATAAACAACTGCCCTTATTGGGGTCAGACGCTGAGCCAGCAGCGATGGGGAGCAGCAGATCCTCGGGCCACGGCTCTGCAGGGGCAGACACGGCCCGTTCTCTCCGGAACAGGAGGGGGTCATGGGCTGCACCTCACGTGTTCGCTTGGAGGCCAGAGCACAGGTTTGCTCTGCTCAGCTCCGTGTTTGTGCCCCAGGCTCCAGCGCAGAGAGGAACTTGGGGGGCAGGAACAACCCCAGGGGCTCCCTGGCTCGGCGGATTCTCCAGGGGCTGCCTCAGCCAGGACCCTCTTTACCAACCTGGGAAGCTCCGTATTACCCCCAGACCCCTCAATTAAACCACTCATCCCCATCCCGGCCACATCCCTGCTCTCCAGGGCCTGCACCTCCCCAGCCCCACTGGGGCCAGCCCCAATCCCCTCCAGCCCCACACAGTGCCCCACAGGCACGGGGAGCCCCCAGCCCCTCTCTGAGCCCACGTGGGGACTGAGCCCTGCTGCTCACCAGGCCCTCTAGCCCCACATGAGACCTGCTGCCCCCCCCAGCCACACTCAGCACCTCCCAGGGCCCCCCCAAGCCCCAAACGAGACCCCCCAGACCTCCAGAGGCCCCAAAGAGGGCCCCCACAGACCTCCAGGTCCTCCACCAGCCCCAAACGAGGCCCCCCTGGCCGTGCAGGCCCAAASGCGGCCGCCAGCCCCACACAAAGCCCCCAGCCCCACACACGGCCCCCGGTACTCACCAGTACTTGAGGATGGCGGTGACCTGCAGCGGGTTGGGCTGCTCGGGGTACAGGCGGCGGCACTCGCCGTAGATGCCGTGCAGCCCCGGCGGGAAGAGCGACGGGAAGGAGCCCGTGGCGGCGGCGGGCGCCGAGCCCGGCCCGCCGGCCGCGGGGACCCCCCCGCCGGGCCGCACGCCCTCCAT